GGTAGACTAAACTCAGGTATCAGTCTGGACAGGGTGAACATGGGCAACTGGCTGGACAGATCCTTTAGCCAAACTACAGGATGGTATTTATGCATAGATGCTGTGCTGAGGTCTGTGCAGGAGGTGTAATTTATATTGTTACTTCACTGCAACTAAGCAAAGAAAGACATGGTCGTATTCATTTTTGCCATGGGTAACTACCTGGCGCCTTCAAAAGGTCTGAGGAGAGGTTGTTGTGCCCTCCATTGAAGGAAGGGGACAGAATTGGTTATGTAGACCCAAGAGATTGAAACAAATGGCCAAGAATTTGACCCAGGTCTTCCAAGCCAACAGAAAGAAGCTGTTCATGTCAAAAATCTAAAGCCTACTCCTGTTTGCCTTGGGAGTCATTTATTGCCTTGAACAGATGTTCTCCACCACAGTTAACCTTGAATCCTGCATGGTTTGGGTCTGAGGTAGGATGATTAGCATTCCCTAGCTCTGGACTGCAGCGTCTGGTTTTTGGTGCCACCTCACAGTATGGTGTGGCAACAGAGATAAATGGTGCCCTGCTGCAAATGGTATGCAGTGATGCTTTGCAATTCTAATGAACCCATCCTGTGCTCTTCAGTGTCCTTTAAACCCTGGCAATTAGGAAGAGTAAAGAAGGGGAAAAGTCTTACTAGAAGGGAGGCAACAGGGAAGCAGAGCCTGTGAATGCCTGCAGAAAAGAGAGGAATTTAATTTCATACTGACACTTTGAATTGTCATGTTCACTTTTCAGATATATTTTGGAAGATGCTTATGTTTTTATAATAAAATATATCAGTTAACTGCTTCACTGTTTTATAAGCTTTTTAATTTAATCTGGACCTGAGCCTGATGTTGCCATTAAATCATCGGCTTTGTCCTTCTTTATTTATATTCTTCCTTGTCAACTTTTTGCCTTTTTGCCTTTAATGAAGCAGAGGTGGCAGCTTTACAGATGGGGAAACCAAATCACAGAGAAACTACGTGATTTTTTACATGACCTATGCACAGAAAATTAATAATCACTCTTATTCACAGGTGCAGGCACTACATGTAAGTACTGCAAATAGTTTAGCTATTTTGGCTGTGTTGATTTAGGGAAAGTTCAGATTTTATGAGAGAGTGTTTGAGACATTAGTGCAAATTTTGTTATTTTCCTTACAGTTTTGCTCATGGTTCCTCCATTCAATGAAGGCTTTAAATACCTCTGGGTCCTCTCCTGGCTACCATTGGGTTGGATTTCTGTCCTCTGCTAAGGTGCCATTATAATGCTGCACTGGTTTTGGCTTTTGACATGGTCCCCTCATAGAACTACTTCATGGAGCTCACTTTGTCCTCCCTGCTTGCTTTCCTTTTCCTTCATGTTAGCTTTTTTTCATTCCTCATAGGCTTTTCTCATGCTCTTTCTTTCTCCTTTCTTTTTAGCAATGTCTCCTGTTTGAAATTTAGAGCAAGTCTCCCCTCTCTTCTAAAACATTTCACTCCTGTCGGATATTCACTTTGTTTTTTCCCCTCCGAGGAGCAGATGCCAACCTGAGCTGACATCATCCCCCAAAAGATTGCTTTGCTAATTGCCATGACAGAGGAGTTGTTTGTTTGTTTGTTTGTTTGTTTGTTTTTCATTCTGATTTTGCTTTCTATTTTTTCCTTTCTGCCTTGGGCTGATCATTGTCAGTGAGCTCAGCAAGGTCACTGGGGTCATTGGCAGGCTTGTACAGAAGGGTGTTCTAAATGATCCATTTGAAATATACAACAAAATCTGGGATGTCTATTGACAACTCCCAAGCTTTTGTAAATATCAGCACTTTAGCTGAAGCCTTATTGTTAATTATCAGAACTAGAAGACTGCTTACCATATTTTACTTGTGTAACTGCACCCGGCCTTACATGTATACAGAAGTAGTCTGTGGGTAAATTGTAACCTTACTTAGCAGCATAAGGGGTCAGGAACTGGCTAAGACAATTTTAAATCAGGTTGCACCTATGGGTGTCATTGCTGAATTTTTAAAAGCAGGTTGATGATGTCTGAAAGCCTTGTTAGCAGATATCTTTGAGAAGTGAGGAGGATGTTGAGGTGCCATGAGGTGAATGAAAGGCAAATATCTTTCAAGATGCATGAAAAAGGAGAGCAAGGACAATACAGACCTGTCAACTTCTTCAAAAGCCAGATGAATGATAATTGATGCTAGAGGCAAAATCGTATTTTGTTGGGATGTAAAAGGTTTTTGTATCAAGTGTGAGTTAAAAGTAACAGATAAAGTCTGGCTGAGATGCAGTTCTTCCCAGAAATATCTTGTGGCTCTGAAGGATAGAAATATCTTGGAACAGCAAGAGGGGATACAAATGATACAGAACAGACCAGAACCTTCAGCCACAACCTTTTTCTTTTTCCAGAGGAAAAAACCTTCCTTTATTCATATGTTCACTGCAATACCTGGCATTTAGGTGTGCAATTGCAACATTTTTTCCATGTACCAAGGTGTTTAAACTAAAATTTAGCCCAGGTTCTTTGAGGTGAGAATTTAGCAATCAGCAAATGTACCGCTTTGCAGATGTGGCTAATTGTGTGACCCATGACTAAAGCACCATTTTGAGAGTGTGAATTGATTTCATAGATCTTTTCTCATTTTGCCTCATAAAAGGCAGAAATGAAAGAGGCATCCTTGGGCCTATGAGAGCCAGAGAAGAATCTGTGATGTATCACCACCATTGGACAAGTTTGTTCTCAGCCCAGCCTACAAACATTAGTGTCTGATAGGTATCCAAATACTGGTATCTTTCTTTTGTGCTATCCATAGCCAAAAGCCCCCATCAGTGAACTAATCCTACCAGAGCAAACACTCCTGTTAGAATGGAGAAGAGCTAAAGTTTTTGTCTTACACCTCTGCTACAGGTCAAATAAATTGCCCTGAATTTTCGGTACAATGACAGTGACAGCTCAGAAGAGCAATTCATTAAAGACAATTGCATTTTACCAAAGAACTGTTGTCCAAAATAAAACAATGGGTTCACTGAAGAAAGAAAGGAATCTAAAATAGTATTGGAATAGATTGTCCTTTCCAGATCAAATTATTTGCTGGTATTATTTGCAGCACTGCTTTTGGGAAGTCTGCAGTGCTCTGGGTAAGCACCAGCACTGCCAGTTACCCATCTCATCCTCTGCAGCACTGAGGGAGAAGATGGTTTAGCAGAAATCACCTTTACCTCCTCCTCTTACCCATGGGGCAGATGGAGTGCCTGAGGCCTTGATACTGCCTCTGCAAAGAGAGAAGGAGTTACAGACATATTCAGCCCTACCAGCTTTGAATGTTCACATTTTGCACCATCTGAAGAACAGGAGAAAAGGCAGATTAAGAATCCTTGACTAGGAATCCCAAGGTCATGCAACAATATACTGTGTATTAACCTCTGCAGGTGATAGTGATACAGACTGATTCTTGTGACATATTTATTATATTTGATGAGCTTTTAATAGTGAGAGACAGTAGATTTAGTTATCTAAGATAAATGTATGGAACCATATACAATGCATTATGCATTTAGTTGTTTCTATACCAAGAATTTAACAAAGTTATGGCAGTTGAGAATCTCTGCTCGATTGCAAAATACTTATATGCAGAATTTGGGTACTGGAGGAAATGACACCATACTTAAGTTCCAGAGTTCCTTTACACATTCATATAGCAGCCTGACACACTGTGTACAACACACGACAAATTGTGCACCAACCTCTGCCAAGTAGACTCTGCTCCACAAAATATGCACAATGCCAACACTGGAAAAGGAAAGGTGGCCACTGCATTTTAGGTATAACCATTTCTTCCTTGCTCCTATATCGATCAGAGGGCTGGTCATGGTATAATTAACTTGCTTTTTCTTGCTTCTTGGCTAAAATATCTGCATCCCTTTGGATAGTCATTGGATAAATCTATTAATAACTTTTTCACTGCCTTTCTGAAGTAATTTGGCTAATGTTCAGAGCTGAACTTACAGCCAAGTCTGAAAGGCTTTTTTCCCCATTTAGAAATTGCAACTGTTCCTTATGTGCAGCAATAGTTTTCCCTTTGAAGAGAGTGAGATGGCTCTATTAGAAGAGCTTATGGTTTTTGGATATATCTCTTGGATACTTTTACACAGAAAATGATCACATTGAAGTACTTATGAAAGGGAAACCCTTTTACCTGTTTTGAAGCTGGCATGGTGCACATCAGGTAGGTCTGGATGCCTCTGCTTTGTGTCCCTTTGCAGTGCCCTCCTCAGTAGGACAGGACAGCTTTGAGCACCATTAGAGGCATCCCTGCCTCCTTGTTATGGTTGTACCAACTTTGATCCTCAGCCTGGGAAGATGAAAAACGAGGCAATGTCAACAACTGCAGTGGCTTTTTGTTAATTGTCAGACTGGATCAAAGAGAGAAGCACTTTGGTTGGGATTGCATCAGGACATTGCCTCTTGCAAGTGGGATGGAGGCAGGCTGGGCATGTGAGGGACAGCTTTGCCCCAGGCTGCTGTGGCTTTCTGTGACAACGTGGTGGCAGAATCAGGTTGTTGGGGTTGGTGTTGGGGATGAGCCAGTGGCATTAAGGCAGCAGGCAAGAGGCTGCATGCAGCATCCTCTTCAAGCTGGCATTTCTGTCTGGTCTGCAAGACAGGCAGCCTTGGTCCTGTCAGGCAGGGTGCATGTACAGCTGCCTGTGTGGGGAAGGGTTGTCTGACAAACAGCAAGGCTGGTGCAGGGGTGATTGGAGTATTTTCCCATAAATATTCTTTAAACGTAAGTGATTGTGATGAAATCATAAAAGTCATTGGCTCTTGTAACTCCTTTTTTGAAAACAAATTAAGCCTAAAAACATGTAGAGACCTCCTTCCTTTCCAGAATATTATTGAAAATTAATAGACCATCTGAGCCTGCAGTATCATAAAGTCTGTATCCTTTTTTTTTTTCCCAACGTACCTTCAGATTCATCTCCAGCAGCTCTCCATCTGTTTGCAGGCTGTTTTCTAAACCAGTGTGATGCCTCAGGTGCAGAAGAGAGAGACAATAATTAACAATGTGGCCTACAGCATCTTGGGGAACAATTAATTTTAGTGAATGGACAAGGGGAGGAAGTGGGAAGGTAAGCTTTGCTCATTTGTCTGCTTGTGCATTCACAGCTGGGCATATTGGATAGATGAACATACTGATATGTATATTCCTCTCCCAAAAAAAGACTATTTTCAGCGTTCCAACTTTCACTCTTTTGCAGTGGCTGTTGTGCACAGAAGCTACTTGGAAATGACAGTGCCATCTGCACTGAGGAGATTAGGGGGTGTCAAGGAATACTCTTTTTCACTTCTCTCATTCCTGCTTCTCTCCATCCTGTCCCTGGAAAAATCCCAGCTTTTAACCTGTCAAAATAGTTTTAAAGCTGGTCTCTGATGTATAGAAACCTGTGAGACAGAACCATGACAGCTATGTACTGTCAAAGGAGTATGACTGCTCAAAAAAAAAAAGAAAATCCAATACAGCTGAATAAAAGAACAGGCAAATGTAGGAGTCTGCAGTAGCATGTGGAGTAGTTCTTTCATGCATATGAAAGATACATTGATCAGAGAATTCTAAATTTATATATAGGAAGACCATAAAGTCTGGTTTATACTTAGAGAGATTATAATGTGTATGCACAGAACTGAAAATTAAAGATCTGCACATCTACAGAAAGGTTAAAAATGAAAGCCATACGATGAATTAGGATTTTTTTCCTGCAAATGTAGGTCCTGAAATTAGAAAACTGAATCCATTTATAAACTCTTAAATGCAAGTGGCCTCATTTCTGATGTGCCAAGCAGCCGCTGCTCTGCCTGTTCCTGTTATTAACACTGGCTCCATTTCTGGAAAACAGCTGGCAGGAAGGAGATCCTACCTATGGGATCTCCTCTGACATGTCTAGCTGGCAAATAACCACATCCAATTGCAGGACCTATGTGCCATGTGAATACAGCTGGAGATATGGGGAAGTGCTGCTGAGCTTTCTGATTGTGTAATCTCCAGGTAGGAATCCAACAGAGATGCTGAGGGAGGAACCCCACCACATTTGACTCATTTCTCCTTTTTCACATCTCTCTGTCCCTTCCTCTTCACACACTGGTGCCCATGCTGAATGCAGAGGCTATTTGAAGCAGCAGAAGAAAGTTGCTGTGTGGTTTTTGAGAGTGAGATATCACAGATGTGACTGCTTGGTTCTGTGTGGAGCATGGAAAAATGAGGTATTTCAAGACTGGTTCATCTCAGAAGTGCATGGTCAGATTTGGAAAATGGCTGTACTAATAATAGGCACCTGAAAGCTTCATCATGAGCCCAAATTAGGTGGTTTCTAAACATTTAACTTTATTCTGGAATTTTGTAATTTCACAAGTGTGTCTGCAGTACAGAGAAAACAATGGAAAACAATGTGCCCCACTGGAAAGCTAGCAGTGCATTCATCCCTTCAGAGAACAAACTCATTTGCCCTTTCCCTTTTATGTCTGCTTATTCAAACAATTAAGTAAACTTAAAAATAAAAGGCATCTCTTCTGAACCACTCTCATACGTTTCTAGGCAGTATCATAAATGAGGATCAGTAATCTAATGCAGAACTGATTTGAGCGTGTTTGCATGTTATGAGGAAGCTGAAAGGTTTATTCATGCCTTTGGCTCTGTATGTATGTAGAAACAGCTGCATGAAGGAGGCTGCTGTTGGCTGACTGCTCCTTGTGCAAAAAGAACCCCCAAACTTGGGCATTTTCCTCTTCCAAATGTGCAGGCTATGACAGCAGGGAAGACTACAGAGTGTCTTTCAGGATGTAAAGGCTGTCATTTGTGCATCCAAGAAAGGACTGTACTGGAAAGGTAGAAGTGTTTTTAATAAGGAAATTACATGCTGGGAAAGAATGTGAACTCCTCTGGAATGTGAGGAGCAGATTATGTTAATATCTGCACATCAACTTTGCCCTCCTGATTCACTTCATGCTGCATCAATTATACTTTTCAAAGTAACTTTTTAAACTGCTGTCTCTAAGTAGCATTGTTAACTATAGCCAAAGGTTGGGAAAAGATTATCCTTTTAAAATTTGATTGCTTGCTCACCAGGGAAGCAACAAGGAGGGGGAAAAAAGGTATTACCAGATCCTGTAAAAAAATAGAATTCCATCTATTTTCACTTCTAAATAAAATCAAATTAAATCCCCAGAAATTCATATTTTTGACAATATAAAATATTGCAATGAAAAATATAATTTTGGTTGTAAGGTATGCATTATATTGCACAGAAGTATAAATATGTATCATACAGAGGCTCTTTGCCAAAATGCACTATTTCATTCCCTTAAATGAGCTTACTCAAAACCAATTTTATATGGGGAAAATCATAAAAATCCATAGATTCCCATGAATTTTCTCATACTGCTCAAGCTGCTAACTCTAGTGAAAAATGTTTAAACATTTCCAACTTGTCATAAGTTCCACAGGCTTATTTTGGTTTAAAATGTAGTTTTGCATGCCTTGGTTTGTATTACTCCTTTTTTGCATTATGAATGGAAATGAGTTTATGACCTGAAAAAGAAAGCAAATGGTAGTGTAGGGAGCTCTTCCATAATGAAAAGAGTTGGGCATAGAGCAGACAAAGCAACTCCCAGTGTGTGAGCTTTGCACAGCTGTAACTTCTGTGATTCAATGATGTTTCTTTCAGTTCTTTCAGTTCTTGGTCAAATGGCTGCTGAACATAAAGGATGAGATGCTCTTAACTCATACTTTTAAGAGACTTGTGAGCAAAGGAAGTGTCTTTCTCTTTCATATCACTGGGGGTAATTTTACTGCCTAGAAGAATATCAGTCTTCCATGATCCAAGAAAACCTCCCTCAGAGTTTAGTATTCACTTGTATGATTATATGCAGACAAGGTTCTGACCTTCTGATATTAAAAATAACATAAAAACAGCTGTATACATTACCCCAGTGAGTAAAGGGTGAGAAGGAAGAAAATGTAGTAGGAGTGACACCCTCAAAAGATTTACTAGGGAAAAAATCCTTACTGGGAAAAGCTTGCAATCATTAGTAATGAAAGAAGAAACTAATATAAGGAAAGCAGTACAAAGGTGGCTGTTGAAACATTAGCATTTGGACATAGGGGATAGTTACATGCAAAGAATTGTCCTAGGCACAAATTTCTTAGGCTAGAAGCACAGTTACAGTTTCTGCCCTCCCTGAGTGGCTACAATCTACCTAAACTGATGACAGGACAAGGATTCTCCTTCTGAGAGGTGAGACTTGGGTTAATCTGTTTTCAGATGTCTCTGTGTGTGCCCCAAAGACAGAACAGAAAAAAAACCCCAAGCAAAATCAAAAACAATGACAACAAAAAACAGATGGGAGGAGAAATTCTCATGAAAAATCATAATATCATTTATTATTTCATTGAAATTATATAAGCCCAAGGAATTCCAAGACTGTTTGGCCCTGCAATAACAAGGAATAGAAGAAGGAATAATCTTGTAGCAATACTGGAAATGTTCATAAATTATTTTGAATGTGCCTTGTTGAAATAGTTTTGGTTTCAGAGAGAGCTGGTTCCTTAGTCCTGTGTAATGATGAGCCTGGCCTACAGCAGTAAGAGAGGAGGCAATTAAATGAATTATAAAATGGAATTTAAAGTACACTAATAAAAAAGACAGGGTTTTGTTCAGTGCTTGTGTCCTTCCTGCATCTGGCATTCCATGATGGTATGGTAAAGCTACCATATATGGAGCAAAAATTAAGGAAAAGAATATTAATAAGAAGACAAAGTTTTCCTCCTGCCTATTTACTCTCAATGATTGACCTTTTCATTTAGAGAATGAAAAGGTCATTTCATTTATACCTCTGCCTAATAATGGCTCACAGTTACTGTATTCCCTGTCTCCTGACCTCCAGTGGTTCCTTAGCCACGCTATGCGTATTTTAACTCATTTAATCTTTCCTTTGAAGTCATTCCCTCCAGCTCTTTGTCATTTGCCTTGCTTTTGTCTGGATCCCTTCCAATTCATCCTGGCATGAAGGTAGACACATGGCAGTGTTTGGGGTGTGCTTTCAAGAATATGCCATCAGGAAGGGCTGCCCAGCCCCTGCTATCTCCCAGGAGGACTTGGTAAACCCATGGGATCCCCACTGGGCCTTGGTGCTTTCCTGCTCCTAAACTCTGTATTACACACTGCACACAGTGGAGCTCCTAATAAAAGTGCAATTTGTGCTGGCTGTTAGTTTGGGCTTATTTTTTTGTTGTTACTGAATACCACAATCCCAGTTCTGACCCTTCCTCCTGTGTATGCTGCTCAGATCTTTTTCAGCCTTGCTACCTTTCTGTTCCCTTTCTCCCATGGAGTGTCTGTCCAGCAGTGTATGATTCATCAGATTTGCTCTTCTGCATTTTTTCAGTTTGGATCTCCTTCATTGTTTCTAGACAATATCATGAGGCTCTTTAGTGCATTGCCTTAGGTATTTGTGTTTCTCCTCTGTGGCCTCCTCCCATGAACTAAGAAATTGGTTTTTGTCTGGATTTTCCGACATCAAGCCGCATAGTGATGCCCACATTACAAACAGCAGATTTTGGCTCAGTGTGCTGCTCTTTTTGAATGTCCCAAGTCTCTCTCCAGAGCCTTAGTCAAGAAGACAGGCTATGTGGATTCTCAACATGTTTCCCGGCTCTGCTTCTCATTTGGAACTCAAATTAACTAACAATTCTTTCCAGTACTTATTGACCTCCAGTGATGCTTGAAAAGTGGGTTCTGCAGCCTTGAATGTGAGAATATAAATACTGGAGATCTCTTAGGTTGCTTTTTAAATGTCTCCTCAAGACTGGACTTTACCAGAGGGGTCCAGGAGAACTCCCAGGAGCATGTGCTAGGGCTTGTCAGGGATCTCCACAGCAACCAAACAGCATGGTTGGATGCTTGTGTTTAGGCATCTGAATCCCAGGCAGGTGTCCAAATGAACTCTTCCTAAGGAGCTCCTTAGCATTTGCTAACTAAAAATAGGGTTTAGGCATTTGTCTGTGAATGCCTACATGTAAATGTCTTCACATCAAACTGAATTCTTCCTATGATGTCAAAT